GAGAGAGAGAGAGAGAGAGAATAAACACAAAAGCCTAGAGAGATACAAACCCACAGTGGTCGGGAAATGCTGCTGTGGGTGGGACAGCGCAGGGCGAGACAAACATTTCCCGTTATCTTCTCCATTTGGCTCATACGAGTGGGCTTTGAAAATGTTTGTGGGAAAATGGAATTAAGAGACCATGGAGTTTTCCCTTGAAAGCCTCCTCACACGGATCCCGTGTTAAGCACCAGTCTATTTTATTTTTCATCAGCTCCCGGCCTGATGGTTGCCCTGCCTTCGCTGACGAACACAGCCTGCCTGCTTCTTCTGACCCACGCTGCAGCTTCCGCTGTGCCCCGGGAGGCTCCCTCTGCTGGGAACACCTGCCTGCTCACCCGGCACACTCCATGAAAGGCCACCCCAGGGTCCTCTAAGGAGCCCTGGAGTCGTAGTGGTTGTGCATTGGGCAGCCGTTTGAAGCTGCTTCGAGGGGGAAAGATGGGGCTCTCTACTGCTAAGAGTGACAGTGTGGGAAACCCACAGGGGCAGTTCTACCCTGTCCTGCGGGGGCGCTGTGAGTTGGCATCTGCTCGATGGCAGAGAGTCGCGTGTTTGGGTGCAAATCCCCTCTCCTGCTTGAAGCCCACTAGTCATCATGCGGGCTGTACTGAGGACAAGTTTCTGCTTCCCTGTCTGTCCACTGCTGGACACAGGATGTTTGTCCAGAGCGGGACACTTCCTAGGACCCTCTGGAGGGCCCCAAGGGTAGAACAGCAGGAGACAAGGTGTGCTTGGGGAGATCGGCTTGGCTGATTCCTTCCTGTTGGCGTCGTGTACCCCAGATGAGACCCTCTGCCCCCACGCAGGGCCCCATCAGCACGGACGTCTCCTCTGGCCCCCAGCTCAACACCCGCCAGGGGCCGAGCGCCAGAGAGAGGGGTGGACCAGGCGGAGGGCACAGACTGGCCTGTCCACAGTGGGAAGGGCAATTTAGAACTGAGCTTATGGAAGAGGACAAAGACTTGGGCCAGAGCCCACCACCTACCAGACGGCCATCATGCAGCACGTGACCTTGCGGATGGCCGGGGTTCGGAAGAGGTCCAAGACTGAGCTGGAGGCACGGCCGCTTGCAAACTCACTCTGGATGTAGGCGTTCACCACCTGGAGGAGGACAGTGGGACCGGGGCCCCTGGTTTCCTCCTGGGAACGCCCTCCTGGGGATTCCGAGCTGGGCTGGCATTGGGGTCCCGGGAAGATCCTGCTCGCCTCCCCCTCCCCAGTTGGTGCCAATGGCTAATGTGCTGATCAAACAGGCAAGGCGCAGGTGCCACCCACAGGCGGCTCAAAGTGGAAGTTGGTCATCTGGGGGCCCAGTTCTAGTCTGACCCGCCAGGAGCCACCGGGAGCCAGAGCCCACTTGGTGGTACCTGTTACTCACCTGAATGGAGGGGCCTGGGGAGCCATCCAACTCCAGTCCAA